AAAGATTGCTTACAAAAGGAGATTTAGTATTATCCTCAGAAATACTACAAAGCATAATAATTACCAAAAAATTTTTTGATAGGATTTTTATTTACAGATTTTTTATTTATATTTTTATTCACAGATTTTTCATTTTTATTTTATTTACATATTTTTTATTTATATTTTTATTCACAGATTTTTCATTTTTATTTTATTCACAGATTTTTATTCACAGATTTGTAGAAGTTTAAATGGTAAAACAATAAAATTATTTTACCATTTAATTATTTAATGACATTTTAGGGTTTTTTTTTATTTGTCATCATTCCTCATTGATGTTTAACTTGATGAGTTTATATATTTTAAAAGTGTTTATTATTATTATTATTATTATTATTATTATTATTTATGATCTTTTTGTAATGTTAATAATTTGAATTTGTTATTTTATTTAAAATTTAAAATTTGGATTCTGTTGCAACTTTTACTACTGATATAAGTTTGTTATTTAACCAGAGTTTACAAAATCATCCATTAATTAACATTTATATTTACATATAAAGTTAATTTGTTCTCATTTGTAGATGTTTTAAATAATTAATTTAATTAATAATTAATGTAATAATTTTTAAAATTTTCAAAGTGATAATTCTAATAGTTGTAATATTCTTACAATGAGCATCTATTTGCTTGTATATTTATTTAACAGTATAAATGAAGTGCAAAAATTGTATAATTACTTAATGTCTTTTAAACAAACCATTTATAGATATTGTTTTGCAACAAGGATACAATAGTATTTTTTTTTTGTAAATCTCTTCTTTAATGATAAAAATAATTATCATGGAGTAGTGAATTATATTAGTATTATTGTAGTATTTAAAAACATTTTACAAAATGATGTTTATTGTGAAGTCAACCAAGTTAATGTTGCATTGGGTTTATCTTATGGAGTAGGTTTGGTTTTTTATTTATAATTAAGATTTTTTTGTAAGATAATTTTATCTTCAAAATTTTTGATAAAATCTATTTTTATAATCTTTTCTTTCGGAAGAACGAAAATATGTTAGAGTGAAAGGCAGAAATAATCGCATTAGGAAGATAGCATAGAGAAAGTGGACAGAGTTGCACACAATGTTAGAAGATGCAATAGTGCTGTTAGTCAAACCAACAAAGACTTGGAAAGTTCACTTAAGGTTTTGTGGTTTATCCTCCGCCAGCTAATTGCCTTGTGGAGGCCACATTACCTAGGTCAGCAGAAACTTGTTTTGGCTCCTAAAGGAGCGTCATGACTAAGCTAAAACATCATGCTTAGCTTATCGATTACCACAACCCATACCTGGAGTGCAAAGTAGCTTTATTTAGTGTCAATATTTATTTAGTCAATATTTAGTGGAACCATAAATCTCTTATAAATTTTTGACAGATAATCAAAAGATAGATTAAAAGATAAATTGGTAAAAGATAGATTGATAGTGCAGAATTTATTTCAATTTTTTATTCTTTCTAGTTTTTAAAAATAAAATTAATTACAACTTTTTAAGATATAAAAGCCACAATGTTACAAATATTTCAATATAATCAAATAGATGCCACAATGGTTTTAATAGAATTACATGCATGGTACCCAAATAAGGTCTTAGTCCTACTTTAATTATATGCATGGTACCCAAATAAGGTCTTAGTTTTAAAAAAGGTTTTTCGGATGCAGAATGAGAATTATTTAAGTGCTGTTCTTGAAATTAGTTTTTAAACTATTCTATAATACGTAAATTTGTTAAAAGTTTTTAATTTTATTAAATAAACCACCAAGTTTTACACAATAAGCTGAAAAAAAGTATTGGTTCAAATTAAGTTTATTAAACCTCATTAAGTTAAGTGATAAATTTCAATTACATAGTTTCACATCATTGTGAAATAAGTTGATCAGTTTAAGATTTCCTTTAATTTTTTTGCCAATCTTGCAGTAGTCAGCCATGTTCCTGAAAGACATGTTAAAGTTACAGTATTCTTTGTAAAGAATGTTCACAATAAAGATTGCCTTGAGTTATTACTTGCTATTTACCAAAAGTAAAAAATCACTTCAAAATAAAGGAAAAAATAAGCATATAAAGCAATCACAAAGAAGCAACTATAATAAGTTATATAAATAATACCATTTGACATGAAAATAAAAGAGAGTTCCAAAATAACAAATATATATATATATATATATATATATATATATATATATATATATATATATATATATATATATATATATATATATATATATATATATATATATATATATATATATTATATTTATATATATATATATATATATATATATATATATATATATATATATATATATATATATATATATATATATATATATAAATATATATATATATATATATATATATATATATATATATATATATATATATATATATAATATATATATATATAAATATATATAAATATATATATATATATATATATATATATATATATATTTATATATATATATATATATATATATATATATATATATAAATATATATATATATATATATATATATATATATATAATATATATATATATATATATATATATATATTTATATATATATATATATATATATATATATATATTTATATATATATATATATATATTGAAAGTTTATATTTTGAAAATTATATAAACTTTCAAATAAACAAACCTTGGTCTCTTCATATATACTATATTTAAGTAATAACAAATTCTTTTTTTTCTTTAACCTTTTTTTTTTTCTGATCAGTTAAAATAATCTAGGAAAGAAGTTGCTTCATTCATTCATTTATTTATATTTGTAATTGTAATAAATCCAGAATTCTCATTTCTGCAATGTGCACAAAGATTTCAAATTTGGTCAACCTGGGATAGCTTTGAATTTGCATGGGGCAGTTTTTAAACATTTCTAGTAAATAAAAATATTTTAAAACTATAACTATTCTGTTTTGAGCAAATACATCCACATATGGCATAATACAGCCATTAGCATAGAATGATTTAAAGGCTTTGATTTTTTGGGGTCAGGATTAGGGTTAAATTTTATATACAAAATCTTTCTTTTCAATTCAATAGTTAAAAAAACAAAACTAGGTACCAAGAATGAGGTCAAAAAATATTGAATTTTTATGGGGAATTTTTAAAATATTACTGGTAAATAAGAATATTTAAAAAACATAATTATTTTGTTTTGCTACATACATATTATCATTGCCACGTATTATTCATTTACAAATTTAAAAAAAAAAAAATTTTTTTATAATTTTTCTTTCAAGATTGGTTTCATTGTAAACAGTATGGAATATTCTATATAATAAATAGCACAGTGTTTGCCTCGTTAAAACTAGGGTCAGGAAACCCTTTTTTTAGCCTTTTTTTAAACTTGTTTTCAAAATATTTAGAAATTGTACTCAAAAACAAAAAAATCATCTAGATTGTCCATTTTAACTCAAAAATCAAATTACACATTCAAGTGGCAGCTGCAAAGATAAGGATAATTCCATTGTTTACAAAATCAATTTTTTTTACTTAATTTAAATACATTTGCCTAATTTAGATAAATTAACTTTAATTATTTTAAATATATGAACACTTCATAATAGCGTTTTTTAAAAGATGTCCCTGTTTATTGCCGTCTTCTTCCCTATTACAAAAATATTTTTTAAGAATCTAGAATATGTAAACTTGTTTACCATTTAAAAAATGTTTTTTTTTTCCTTCATTTCTTGGAGCCTTGGGACATGATTAAAAGCTCTGAATATCGTGCTTTAATTTCTAAAGAAACTATTAGAAAACAATCACCCATTCACCCAAACTAGAAAAGGCAAGTTATACCTTTGCGAAAAAGTTGATGAAGATATATTTATTTTAATAGCATGTTATTTTTATATTTCATAGATATCTTTATTACATTTAAACTTTCTTATTTACAGTATAATTATTTAAAGCTTTGTTTTTGCCTGTGATTTGTTGTTTCTTGTTCAATTTTAAGTGTTTATAAAAAGTTTTTTTTTCTTCTTATCATTATTAGTGTAAGTATTGTTTGAGTAGATTCTTTTATTTTTTCAAAGCTGTTCATTGCTTTCCTCTTCTTCCCATTTACAAAGAAATTTTTTAAGAATCAAGAATATGTAAATTCGTTTGCCATTTAAAAATTATAGTTGATTCAAGTCTTTTAAGGTTTTCTAATGTTTTTTCTATTTCTTGGGGTCTTGGGACATAATTGAAAGCTCTGAATACTGTGCTTTATTTTTTTAGGATAATAATTATAAAAACTGTTTCAAGGCAAGTTATACCTTAGTGAAAAAGTAGAATAAAATATATTTAGTAAAGAATTTTATAGCATGTTATTTTTTTATTTGATAGATATCTTCAATTCATTTAAATTTTCTTGTTCAAAGTATGACTATTTAAAGCTTTGTTTTTATTTGTGGTTTGTTGTACATCTTTATTCAATTTAAATGTTTATAAAAGATTTTATTTTTATTATTATTATTATTATTATTATTATTATTATTATTATTATTATTGTTATTGTTACTGTAAGTACTGGTTAGGTATAATGTCTGTCTTATTTTTGTCATTGTATTAGTATTTTTTTAAATAATCTTCTTTTAAACTTTATTTTTGTCTCGACTTTTGTCTAAATATGCTTTGTTTGAAAAATAATTCTCCTCTATTCTTAATTTTTCCCTCAGCTGTTCACCGCAAAATATGGTTGGTAAGATATATTTTAGATAAATTACAAACAACCTGTCTTCCCACTACCAAACATGTTTACAAATATTTTAGGTTTGACTTAATTAGACCTAATACTAGTTTAAACTTAATTGACCTTATTTTAAATTAAACTTATTTTATGTTTTTGAAAGCTTATTTTAACTTTCAGTTTAATTTTTGTCATTCATGATTTATATAATTTACTTATATTTATTTGCGAATTCCAAGAGTTTTATCTAAATAATTATCAACTTTTTTTAGAATTATTTCATGGAGCAGTTTCTTTTCAATCAGCCAAAGATAACAAGTATCTTCGTCTTAGTAATATGGTTATTAGACTTGACAATTTTTTATCAACAGATTATGCTGGTGATAGATCATATTATGTCCATCAAAAGGATTCATATATTTCTATACAGTCAGCACATCCTGCTTATCTTTTACATTTTATTGGAAAAAATGGTGATTGTTTCAAAATATTGCCAGATGCAAATGTTCCAGCTTTTACTCTAGTTGTAACTGGTGAGTTTATTTTATATAGTTTTTAATGTGGTCAGACTGATATGAATTAAAAAAAAACAACTTAAACATTTTTCTGCATAATTTATTTAAACTTATATTCAACTTTTAAATAATACAATAGTTATATTCTAAATGACACAGTTGACTTTTATATCTTGACTTAGAATTCAGAAAGTTCAAACTATATATCTTATATATAAGTTATGTATGAGTTGTTTAAACTCTATACCTTTAGTATATAGTTTAATGATTTCCAAAAATAGAAATATTTGACAATTTATTTGTTGGGTTTAACTCTTTTATCAGTATTTATAAATAACAAAATTAAAAATTATATTCAAAAAGTTTTTGAAAAGTATTAAAGAAATTATTTGTAAAATGTCAATTTCAACTTTTGGCTGTTGTTGGTTATGTGTTTATTTTAGTTAACTAAGTTATAATATTTAGTTAAACTAACTAATTAGTTTAAATTAGTTTAGTTTATTCTGAAATATCTAATACATTAGTGTTTTTTTATAGGAATCAAAAATAATGTTAACTCGATGTTTCTGCTGTGATATTTACAATAGAAAATATATTAAAGATCTTTCCTTGGAAAGTAAACATAGTAGGAAAAATGCAAGTTTTTCAGCTACCCCTAAAAAAATATAAAATTAAAAATTCATAATACATGAAAAAATTGAAATTTCTAACTCTCAAATTGACTCTAACTCTCAAATTGGCGATAGAATTGACAACTTGAAATTTAGACTAAAAATTCTTTATTAGGTCTTGCAATTTCCATTATAGATTTTGTAGCTGTGGTTTTTTATATACGATTTTAGTTCTAGTGAAGAAAAATGACTAAAAATTTAATCTTTTTTAAAAGTTTTAAATTTTAACATAAAAAAAAAAATTTTAATTTAAAACTCGATTTAAATTTGAAACTTGAAAAGTTTTGATAATAATTTTTCTGTTTTAAATAAAATGTTTTGTTTTAAATAGTCAAATTGTTTTATTACCATGATTTATGCTTTCTTAAACCTTGCCTAACTCTCACGTGTTTAAATTTTTTTTTTTTTTTTTAAGAAAAAGATGTTGGTTTATGATGATGTTTATCTAATAATCAATAGTTTTAGTCATTAGCAATATTTAATTAGATAAAAATATTTATATTATTAAAAAATAACTATATTTATAGTTTAATAGGTTAAGCATAAAAAAACAATGGTCCTGCATAATTTTGAAAGATTTTCCAAATATTTATACATAAAATTATAATTTGAATTACATTAGAAGTGCAGTTTATTTGTTTTACAAATATATGTATATTTGTATATATATATATATATATATATATATATATATATATATATATATATATATATATATATATATATATATATATATATATATATATATATATATATATATATATATATATATATATATATATATATATATATATATATATATATATATATATATATATATATTTATATATATAACCCTCGGATTAGGAAAAACGAGATTGGCAAAATTTTGTTGACCTCAGTCTTTTAGAGGTTGTCATTAGGTCGGTAAAAAAACCTTTTAGGTCGGCAACAAAATCAATATATATATATCTATATCTATATATATATATATATATATATATATATATATATATATATATATATATATATATATATATATATATATATATATATATATATATATATATATATATATAATATATATATATATATACACAGCCCTCGGAATTAGAGTCGGCCTAATTGTCGACCTAAAACTGTTTAAGGTTGGCAAAAATTTGCCAAACTCATTTCTATGTTTTATGGTTGCTCCTTTGTGTCAAAATATTTTTGCCAACCTGATGCCGGCGTCTGACAGTTTGATTTCGGCAATTAGTTGCTTTAATTACGAGGGTTACATATATATATATTTATATACATACATATTATATATATACATATATATATTCCTGCACATTCTGCATGAATGTGCAGGAATATAATAGAAAAAAAAAATTGGTTCATGATTCAATCAAAAATAAATTGGTTCATGATTTTAGCCATGATTTTTAAAATTAATTACTTCTTTTCAATGGTCACAGCTCAAATTTGTGGTATTCTTGAATCTCTTGTCTGAAACTTGGCTATTATTTGGGGCGCACTGGCCTGTGGATTTGCCTTGGATGCTGAAGATTTTGGTAGGCTCTGTGATTAAACTAAGGCAATCTACTTTGACCATTGCAATTGATTTCCAATCACTCCAACTCTTCACGTTCTTCACTTCAAGCTCTCTGTTATGGTAAGGCTTTGGTTGAAAACTGTCCTTTACCTATAGGGTTGACAAATGAAGAGCCAGGAAAAACCCAACATTCTTTCATGCGCTTGACCAGGTCTGACCATGCCAGAAAGACTTCATTGACTGATAGTTTAAAAGACTTGTTTTTGCATTTGATTAATTTACATGACCCTGTGATCAGAAGTCTGTCAACAAAACACAAAAAACAACAGTCATTCACAACTTATATCCAATGAAATCTGGAAGTTGCTTTTAACTCCTGTCTTGCAAATAGTTGGAGATTCTGAATCTGATTCTGAAAATGATCTGTGAGTCTTACTAACTAGTTTTTGAAGAAATTTGTGAATGACATTCAGTTTTTAGTGAAGTTATTCAATTTTATTATTCAAAAGTACTTTAAAGTTGACTTAACTAGAGCCTTAACTAGAGTCTTTGATGAAATTTTTAATGTTTTTTGTCATATTACTGCTATTTTTTATTTTATTTTGTGTTAAAATAAACTTTTTTGCTAATTTTAATTTCTTTTAACCAAAACGTCATACTGAAATAGCCTGCTGCCCCCGGCAGCAGGCTATTTCAGTATGACGTCAGATTGTTTACCTTAGAATGCAATACTACTTATATTATATATATATATATATATATATATATATATATATATATATATATATATATATATATATATATATATATATATATATATATATATATATATATATATATATATATGTATATGTATTATATATATATATAATATATATATATATATATATATATATATATATATATATATATATATATATATATATATATATATATATATATATATAATATACATATATATGTAATATGTATATATATATATATCTTTAATAAGAGGTTAAGTTGAAGAAACAGTGCTAAAATTATCTAATTTTTAATATTTCCAGTTCTGATTTTATTAATCTAAATTTTTTAAAATTTAAAACAAATTTATTTAGAAGTGTAAAATATTTAAATTGCACATGGTTAAGCATAGAGACTATTATTATGGTTTATAATCTATTTTTGAATATTGATAAAATTAAATGCAGTTCATACATACTCTTTGACGTCTAATAATTTGCTAGAGAATAAAAAACTTTAATAGTTATCTTAAATGTTTTTTATAATAAAATTTTTTACAACAACCTGTTGGTTTATTGATATTTTTTTTATAAATTAACCTAACTTGTTTCGCCGCTGCACTGAGAAACAAGTTGGTTATAATATTTATAACCTAAAATTTCAGCCATGCTTTCATTGTAAATAGTATATAAAAAAGTCAATATTAACAGATTTCATTGTTTTTTATTTTTTGTTTTTTTGAAAGTAAAAAAGAATTTGGAAAAAAAAAAAAAGCCAACTACTTAAAGAAAGATTAACAAAAAAATACATTCAGCATAATTTACAGTCAATCTATTTTCAAATTTTAAAAAATTTGAATTGTAAAAATAGCTCTGACGAGATTTGTTTAATTTGTGAATTTTTTTTTATTACAGCATATTTGTTAATATACCTTTTTTTATTTTTTTCTTAGAATTGTTATATTTTTGAACATATAATTTAAGGTTTGATGATTAAAAACATTGTAAGCATCAACAGATATTCAGTCAATGTTACCATAAACTCTTCCATTCCAATTTGGAATTTAAAAACAGATTTTGTAATTAAATGCAAAGATTCTAATGATGCAGTCAATTTATATCCTGTTACAAACTATGTAGCTGCTGTGTCTTCACTACAAGCTTATACTTTGTACAAATTTTCTGCAGGTGTAAAAAATGAATTTGGTTTTTATGTGTATGGGCAAGTGCTTTTTTATCAAAATGACGAAGATG